ATTTTCCTCAAGGTTAGCCATAATTTGTTGAGATCCACACAATGTGTGAAAATGACATTAATCACCTAAATATGTACAGGTGGAGATGTTAAGTGACTATGAAAGTTTTAAAACAGGTGATTACCTACTACTTTTGGCTTGTCTGATACATAGAACGATCTTCAAGAAACATATATTTAGATTGTAAATGGAAAAAAATACCCCCTCTTCTAAATGTCATTTTTAAAAAAGTTGACAAAAAGGGCATATTAATTCCTTTTCTAAGGTCATGGAGGAGGAAGACACCAGATCAAGTTGCAGATGAGAAAATACCATAAGTTGGCCAATCTCTTCCGAAAAATCCTATAGCTTGGCTCAGACTCTGGGGTCCAATTTATTCCTATTCCTCAAAAAGAAAAGGAATCAGAAAGTAATTAAATTCATGTCATTACATGCCAGGCAAACAATGTAACAAAAATTATGAATGAGATACAATCTCTACCCCTCTAAAAGGCAAGTACAATAAGTAGCTCTTCAGATATAAACATTCATGAGAAGTAAGGGGTCTATGTCTTAGAAGACCAAATGAGGAAGCTATATCTTCAGAGGGTCTCTGAATGGCCTTGGATAAGAGGTAGGGTGGGAACTAGACTTGGAAGAAGCCTAGGATAAGATTTTATGAAGCAGAGATGTGAGAGTGGAATATTCCCACCTGTAGGAGGCAGAGGATGGAGCCTTTTTAGGAATGATGGATGCTCTACTGGACGGGGGAAAGGATTCCAACACTAGAGTGGGAAGGTTTAAAACCTTTAAAGGGAGTGGCTCAGTCAGAGCTGAGTACTAGAAAGAATGCCCTGCTGGCTGTGTGGACAACCTAAAGGGAGATTATTTCTTGCCAACCATGTCTTCAAAAACACATGCATGTGGGTGTTTGGGCATATCTGCTGTTCCAGATGTGGGAGATAAGAAAACTGATAGAATGGAAAAGTCCTGTTGTTATTTGGACCCATGATCTAATCTTCCTAACAACTCAATACAATGAATATTTCCTCTATTTTATAAAGAAAACTGGAAAGGCCAGAGAGATTTATTGACTTACTCACACAACTAACATCCTATATAACTAGCATTGACCCAGCTTGTCTATTTCAAAAGCCTCAATTCTAGACCATGAAGTTGCAGTAATTGGGGGTGGGCAGGAAGGATGAGTTAAAGGTTCCCCTCCCAGGTGTGTGAAGCAGAGGTCTTACTATCTTCGACTTGAACTCTTTATGGGAGAACTACTTGTCTCCATTCCCAGACTCTTACCAAAATCTATCAGACATACTGCCATTGAGTTGGTTCTAATTTATAGTGACCTTCTGGTGTCTGAGGTTGTAAATCTTTAGGATAGGAAATTGCCCACCTTTCTCCATGGAGTGCCTGGTGGATTCAAACTACTGACCTTTTCGTTACCAGCACAACACATAATGCACTATGCCAGTAGAGTTTCTTCAGACTCCTGCAGGGCCCTTCTTTTCCCAGTCTACCACACACAACAACAAATGCAAATTAAAATATGAATATTGATATCAAAATAGTACACAAAGTAGGAATTTCTGTGATTGAGGCTGACATGTATTTTAATGTGTCTGGAGACTGGGAGCTGACAGTTAGTTGTTTGATAAAGTGTGAAAATGTCAGTTCTATGAGCATCTACCTAGATTTCTCTGCCCCATATATGCTTACTCACTCCCATCAATATACTGGGAAATGTTTGGCCAGAAACTCAGCTTTGCTAACCCAACTGTGAATTCGCTATTTTCAGTCACAGAGTCTACAAAGTCAACAAGCTCAATTTGTCTTTTAGAGATGAAAGATTTAGAAACTTTCAAAAGAGTTGGAAAATGAGTCTACTTTACTAATTTTTATGTTAAAGGAAAAAATATCTTTTAGAAGTCCCTCAATTGGTAAATTATTTCCTTACTTCATGTTTGCTGCATGTGAGGAGGTACATCTGTACCTGTGCGTATGTGTGTGTGTGTTTGAATGGCACTGCTTTTAAAACAGGGCACTCTAATGCCAGCCTTGTATGGTTCTGTATTGGGAATGCAATGTATTGAGGCACAAGCCCAGCCATGCAGCATTCTTCTGCGGGCCAGGTGTGGTAGTGAGATGCTTTGGAGGGAAGAATTACATTCTCTCTTTAAAAAGTGATAGCTGATGGCATCTTTGCCATTTCTGCTTTTTTTTCTAATTTTGAGCAAATCAGACTTTAAAGGAGGCAGAGCTATAGAAGAACTTGACCACTTTGCTCCATTTGTCCAGAGAAATATGTGATCCATCCTTCTTTCTTTTTTTTTTTTTTTTTGTGGTTGGGCTGAAGCTGAGCAGGTCTGGAAAAAAGCCACACTACGGTATCTATTAACAATTATTTGCCAGTGGTTACATGGATACTCTGAAAGCTCCTATTTCAGGTGCTTTGAAAATCTGCTGCACAAATGAACAAGGGATAGAGCTGGGGCCTTGCTCAGTCATATTAGAGATGGACCCTCCACACACCACGGTGACCTCTCTGCAGGTCGGCACCACACTGTCTATTTGCAATTCAAACCCAATGCGAGAGCTAGGAGGGCAACACCGGGTTCTTGATTATGTCTGCGAGGTCACCATTCCTATGCAGAGTTGGAGGAGGCCAGGTGGCAAACCAGTATATTTGAAAATTGGATCTTTGCTGGGAACTGCCTCGATTTTGGAGCAGAAACCAAACTGGCAATGTCTGCATTAGACACATCTGGGAAGTCACACAGCTATGTTATCATATGAAGAGGAGGGGGACAAAGGAGCAAAGGAAATATTTTCTACTGCAGTGAGTGAGGTCAGGTGAAACCAAATCTTAAATTAGCTCAAGAAAGGGAGCTGGAGAGCACTGCAGAAGACCCAAGTCCTGTACATGCCGAACAATGCTAGAGTTTCCATTACAAAATAGCTTTTCTAAGAACAACTGCAAATATCAAGTCTGTAGAAATCGCTAAGACTGAAGGGGGGAAAAGTGAAAATTGAAAAGGGTGCACTAATAGATCTGTCAACAGTCCAATGGTGACAAGCCACATTTCTATAAAATGCCTTCACCATTTGTGTCACCTGAAATGTACTGACACTCTTTATAGAACATTATCTCCTGAAGCTATTCTTGAAAAAGACTGGCAGGGGGAAGAGGAAAAGGGGAGGGGAAGTGGAGAATGTGCCTTAGATCCTATCAAGCAAAGGAAGGGGAGATGATGCGGAAGGAAAATGATCTAGACTGTTTAAATGAACCTTTGAACAATGATGTTAAAAGCGCTGAGTATAAATGATTATTTGCAAAGATGCTGCCTATAAAAAGGGGATTTTCTTAAGGTCAAATATATACATTTATATATGGCAGTAAGAAGATGATTCTTGCTTTAATGGTCTGCAGACTTCAAGTCTGACCAATGAGGGTACATCTGTCCTGCTCCACGAAACACCCTTTTCTTTGCCTGCTTCAGGTAAGATTCTAATACCAGCCTGAGGTGAGGGTAGAATGAGGGAAAATTTGGTAAGAAAATCTCTCTCCATTTGTCTATTTTATATCAGCAATCAAATTCAGCTCCAAGAGACTGGGAAAGAAGAGAAGAAGGTCCATTTAGGGACTTAAGTGACATCCACCGGAAGATGTCAAGCTACCATCTCTGGCAGGGTGTAACAGATGACAGCTCAGGCCTACCTGGACTGACATTACAGGGGTTTTTATTTCCAGACTTGACTCTCAGCTGTTAAAAACTCGCTCTCAGCTGAAACACAAAATTTAAGTGCTTAGTCAGAGCAAATTATTTTCCAATTAAAAGAAAGGAATCAATCCCTTCGACCATTTCAAGTTAATTAGAAGGTCTCTCTGACTTCATAACATTAAAATGGGCTTCATTCCCCCCCCCCCTTTCTCTCGCCCTCTTTTTTTAAATTGCTGAGACAAACAAAGATCCTTATTAGAGTAGTGCACTTTGGGGTATAGGGATAATGAATTAAATGACCCCAAACATCTTTTGGAAAAATGAAAACCATTGTTTTACGAAGGCAGCATTAAAACTGTAGAGAAACAGCAGAGAACCTGGGAGTCCATGGTTGGGATTGAATCCTGGCTCTGCCACAGTCTCCTGGTATGACCCTGCGCAGATTTATTCATGACTTGGGAGAAACAGTTCTGTTGTATTATTCTAAGGATCAAATGTGAATGCTTGGTGCATGAGCCATGTACAACAAACGCTTTATGAGGGGTGATGTTAATAATCATGATGACAATATTCATGGTATTTTAAAATGTCTGTCTAAAATACTTATAAAACGTTATGTTCACATCCCATTGCATAAGCACACAGAATCAGGTCAGGAGCATCTTGGCCAGTATGATTTCAGAAAACTCTGGAAATACTTTATGATGGTCCAAGAAGACAATCAGAGTCTCCTCCTCCTCTTACTGAGTCTCAAAAAGCAACTGCTGGGCTCCTCTCATTTACTCCACAACCAGGAGGGGAGCTGGAGCGCTGTTCTCCAGCCCACCCTTCTGTGCTCCACATCTACGTGTCGGTCGTGTTCATGAGGGAACTCCCGGAATCATTTCCCAAGGGATACCTCCTGGTTTGCGCTTCAGCCAGCCACAGGGCAGGGGTCGGATTTAGGAGCTCTGCCGCCTGGCCAGGGAGGCTAAGACAATTTCTACAGACCTCTGCGAGCCCCCGGCCCAGTGGAGCCAGCAAGTAACAGCGGTAACTCTGAACTTCCCTGCCTTTGTGGGTTTAAACCAGAGTCTTAATGTTATTTGAAGACAGTTTTTTGTCTGTGAATATTTATAACAGTGTGAAAACTCCCGGACAGCTGGTAATGCATTTTGAAGTGTGCTAACAACACTGTATCAAACAGCCCTCTATTGATCGCATCATACTGTTTTTTTCTTTTTTTTTTTTTTTTGTGGCCATGCATTTCATACACGGTGCTTATACATTTTGAATAAGAACTTCAAGTACCTTTTGCTTCAAGCGGTTTTTCACTTCTTTTATTCCCATTTTTGCATGATCTTTTGCCTGCATGAAAAATTAATTTAAGTTAAGATTCCCTTTCTGTTTCCAGCAGGGACTAGGCTTGATTTCAGTCCGCCATGAATCACCTTCTCTGATTACTAGAAAAAGGAAGGAAAAATGGGATCATCAAGTTGAAAACATAATGGCTATGAAAACAAATATAACGTTAAAGGGTTGGGGGAAAAAACCCCACCCTTAAAGGAGCTGTAGAGATTTTATTTTCTGTCTTTTTATAGCACCGAGCCCCCCGCCCCCAAAGCCCTTTTACTGCTGTATAATTATTTATCTTGGCAGCCGAGTGACAGCTACTAGTAACAGCAGAGCTGCAGCCCTTTCTGGCCACAAGACTCTCCATGCCATTCCATTAGGTCAGGGGCAGGGCCTCAGGACCAATTTTCTATCCAGGACGAATGGTCTGAAGGGGTACATCTCAGGGATATTATGGTGCCATTTCCTCAATCTCCTCTGAGGAGACACCTTGCTTTTTTTTTTTTTTAAACATTTTGGACCCATGTGGTTCAGTTGGCAGACATCCACCCCACTCAAAGAAATGAAACTTAAGCATAGAGAGAATGAACAACATTTGAAAAATGAAAATAAAACCAAACCATGCTACTTGAATGTCTCAGGGTCAAATTGGCAGGCAAGAGAAACTGCCAGAGAAAATCCTTGAGACTTGTTTATGACTTGTAAAAGGTAGAGAATCAGGAGCTGAGGCGCTTCCCTTACTTTGATTCTGCTGTGGGCACGAGTCTCAGAAACAACACATTTCCTAGAGGGTGGTGATGAGAGAGATGATGAATTTGGGAGGAAAATTACAGAGTGTGTCCCACCAAGAAAACTCTTTCAGGAATCTGCAAAGGAGTTGCTTTACTGGACATAATAATGTGGACACATGTTGGGGCTGGACCACTTGAATGACCGTGCCATAGGGATGTAGGCATGGAGCAGTGGGAACTTCAGGCACCCAGCCTACATTTTAAAAGCTAAACACCGTAGCCTCCCATTTCTTTATCACAGTGACTATTAGCAACAATCCCTGAAATAAAATAACTTTCAGAGCATTTCTGAAGGGTTTAGGAAAGCACAACGCCCTCGCCCTCCACTCCTCCAGTCATCTCTGCAGTACGGGATCAGGTGTATTATGTCATCAAGGGACATTTTGTTTGGAACATAATACTAATATCAGTACTTACAAACTTATAGACTGTCTTCATAGCTGGGTTTGCTTTCGTTTTTACCGTATTCAGAATAGCTCCGCTTCCTTTCTATAATAAAAAGGTCAATTAGCAATTTGGACAAAAGAGACAGGGAGCCAACACCAACAAAGATATTTTCTCTTGAATCAAGTGAAACAGTATTTTAAGAACATGTAGTTTAATTAGGTCCTAGGCAATTCTGGCTTTGGTGTGGTAATTATTATGGGGTAAGTATGAGGGTGGAGAGGCTATTCCTTAGAAAGGGACATCATGCTTGGAAAGGTGGAGAGGAAGACCTTCAATTAGAGGGACCGACATAGTGACTGCAACAATGAAGTCAAATTGTTGACAATATGGGTGGCATAGAATAGGAAAGAGTTCAGATCTGTTCCTCACCGGGTGGTTATGAGTCATACTTGAGGGCATTTAACAACAACAACAACATGAGAGGGTGGGGTGGGATGGGTTGTGAATGAGGATGATAACCATTTCTTGTGATAACTGAGGGGAGACTCCAGATTCCATGTTTTACTTGGTATCTGTGCCCTGGCTGGTAGGAGAGCATATGATAGGCTTTTTGGGGCAAGGGTTACCCTATAGTAATCTATAGCTTCTGAAGAAATTTTAGTTACCCAGGACAGTAAGGTACATTTAATACAATGGACTCATATAACCAACACCAAGCCAGGGTAGAACATAAAAGGTGTGATTAGCCAGGACTGTCTAGCTCCTCTGGAAATATGCTGACCTCAGATCTGCACCTTTCTTTCTTTAATCTGGGTTTTCTTATTGATTTTCCCTTTAAATTTTATTTTGCTGTTGTTGAGAATATCTACAGAAAAATAAATACAATTTAATGGTTTCTAATGTATGATTTAGTGACACTGAGTACACTGTTCACATTGTACAATTATCCTTACCTTCTTTTTCTGAGTTATTCCTCTCACCCAGGAGGCTGATCTAATCTTTCGAGTTGCTGCTTTTAATTTGATCCCATGTAGACAAGACAATTCTTAAGAGAATAATATCCAAGGCAGATCTTTTGAGAACACTCATGAAACTAAGCTATTGTTTGGTTTTATGATTTCAGGGGATATTTTTTGTTTGAGATTTAAAGATTATCTTGGGCCAAGTTTCAGGGTTTCATCAACACTCTGAGAATTTGAAATTATGTTCTGCACTTTCCCCTTTTTTGATCAGGATTCTTTTACTGAATCTTTTATTAAAATGTTCATTAATGGTAGCTGGGCACCACCCAGTTCTTGCGCTCTCCTGGCAAGAGAAGGGTTGTTTATGGAGGCAATTAGCCCCACACTGCATAGCTCTTCCTCTTCCTAACTTCCTCCTTTGTTGTGTTCCTGGTGAACAGAGACCAACAGTATCTTGGATGGTAACCTACGAGTTTATAAGACTCTAGTCACCATGCAATGAACTAGAAGGTAGAACAGAACTATCAGATATGTTACTAAGGATGCCTCATAAAACCATGACCCTAAATCTTCAAACAAAGCAACCATATCCCATAGAGTGTCTGGTTGTACACAAGCAGACTCAGAGCCACTCTCTTTGTGTTTTTGGTATTTTAAAAATGTAAATATATCTGCCATACAACTTTTGCCAATTCAGCTTTTTACAGGTGTGTAACAAACTGACAATTATAATAAGATTGTCTGCACAACTCTACTTGTAATCAAAGTGACTGTTCATCATTGTTAACTCTTCTCCATCGCTCCCTGACCTCCTTGCTCCCATGCCTGGTAACCAGTAATTAACGCTGGTCTCTATATATTTGCCTTTTCTTGCCTTTTTATATAAGTGGGGCCATATGATATTTGTCCTTTTGTTATTGGCTTACTTTACTCAGCATAATGTCTTCAAGCTCTAGCCATACTGTAGTGTGTATCATTTTGCCTATTGGCTAAGTAGTATTCCACTGTATGTATGCACCATATTTTGTTTATCTGTTCAGCTGTTTCTGGGCATTTGGGTTGTTTCTATCTTTTGGCTATTGTGTGTTGTTTTGTTTTAAATCACTCTGGTATGCTACCTTCTTTAATATCTAGACTGTGACAAAAGAAAAGAATGAATAGTCATGAATGTTAACTGTGGCTTTATTATAAGTATATCCAACATACTAATTTCTAAGCTCACTTTCTTTAGGAAAACACAAGAGAAGGTTCTTAGCTATATAAAAGAAGTAACAAATGGATATGAACTACATAGGCTATATGTGAATATATATTTGTGAATCTACTTTTCAGTTTCATTTTTGAAGGCTCACTATGTAGATGCTTGTGTGAAGTTCTGAAGGTACTGAACCTATCAAGACCTAGTCTCTCCCTTTAAAGACGGCCAGTCCAGTGGTGGAGAGGCGGAGGCACGCTGGAGTGACATCTGGTGCTGTTACAGCTAAGATACAGACCTAGAAGTAACTCAATTTTTGAAAACCAGATAAAGCTTCAGAGAACAAAATATTTGTCCACAAAAGATAAGATTAGGCACAGGAAAAACGTAAAAAAAAGAAGGTGAAAACCTATGGAATGTTCTGGGAACAAGTGGTGCCAAAAGATCCAAGCACAATGTCACGTGGGAGCAATGGCACATGGGGCTGAGGAGGTCAGATGGAGTAAGTTCAGTGAAGGGCCCTGGAGGGTTTGAAATCAAATGCACCACAAAAGCAGATTTGTGGTGGTTTGGAAACACAATTCCTGATACATGGAAAATAGATTAGAATGGTAAAAGGCTGGAACCAGTACGTATATAAGAGAATAAAGATACAGTAATGTAATTATTCGGCTTAAATTTTAGCACAACTTTAGGAAACTGTCCACATTAGGAATTTTGTACTTTAATTAAAAACATTAAAATTGGACCTAGAAAATACTCTATGCTGTAAGATAGTATGAAATTTTCACCTACTCATTTATTCCGTATTGCTTTCCAAAATTACTCAGTGGCCTATTTAAATGGTCTTTGGAGTATTAAAACTCCCTTTATCAATCAATCAATCAACAAGTCCTTATTGCTTGTCTATGATTTGCCAAGTGGCGTGTTTGGCCATACAAGAATAAAAGAAGGCTTTCATCAAAGAAGTGCTTACTCTCAGCCAAGTGCAGCCACTTCCAAGGAACCCACCTTGGCAGCAGAGCACTTGACCCACAAACAGGAGAGAACACTTATCACATTATGTTGGTGTTGCCTGTTTACCTCCCAGGCTCCCTAACAAAATGAGGAGTTTTTCCAGGGCAAGGCAAGGGTCCTGCTTCCCACTGTATCCTCAGCACACAGCATGGTGCCTGGCACACAGTAGGCCTTTGGTACACACTCACTGATAAAGTGACAGAAAAGAAAGGCAAGGTTCTGAATACTTCAGTGGCTTCTGAAGCCCTGAGCACCTGGCTCTGGACACAATATAAAATTATTTACAATAGTGAAGGGATGAATTCAAAGAAAAATCTTAGTGATGTGTCCTCTGTTCCCAGGAGCCTCTGTTGTGAAAAACACTGCCGAGAAGCAAGTGAATAGCTTTTTGACTTCTCCATGATCACTGAAATTGCCCTGGTTTTAGAAGGAAGCCCTAGGAATGCTTTAGGACCACATCCCATGCAGAAAGCTGACTTCCTGAAGAAGATGAGGAAGCTTCTCTTCACTCTCTAAGTCCCCACCAAGGAATGGCTTATCCTCTGGTCTCAGTGTAAGAACAGCCTGGCTTTAAAAACAAAAGGATCTTAGCTGAGGAACTGGAGGGCTCCCTAACAACAGCCTTGTGGGTGGTAGAGGATGCTGAGGGCCACCAGGAGGTTAACAAAGAGGCCCAGATGACTCTGGATGGCCACACACTTACCCGGACTGTGGAGAGCCACTGGTGGTACAGTTTATCACTCCCTGGGGAGAGAGAATTCAGAGAGGCTGTTATTCAAAGAAGCAATTTTCCTTCAGGAGTTTCTCAGATTTCTTTCAGCATGTAAGTTTCAGAAAGTTCAGACCTGGTGAGCCACATGGAGGCTCCTGTGCTCACCCCTTGAAGGAGCAGCTGTGAGTCACCACCCCTGACTATCTTTCTCAACTAAGTGATTGGATTATACCATCAACCTCAGTACAAACCTACAAAATCCTTCATGTTGCCTAACAGGTAAAGGCTAGGTGCTTCAGGTGCCTTCCCTGGAAAAGGAAAGAATCATCCCTTCAGTTCTAAAGATTTATGGAGAGCCTAGGCTTTTTGCAGTGGTTTCCACGTGTTAAAGCTTCCTCATTTGCTGAGCATTGGCCTGTGTCATGGACAGTCCTCAGTGTCTGCATTAAACTTTGCTTGTAGACTCTAATCTGCTCTCAACAGGAACACTTTGAGGAAGGAGATGTTGCTCTTGCTAAGACACAGGAAAACTTCAGCTAAGAGAGGTGAAATGACTTGACCAAGATCTTAGAGCTAATAGGCAGGCAGAGTGCTTGTCTGAACCCAGGTTTCTGAAATCATTATCTCCTTTGTTCTCCATGGCATCATGCTAGACACTCTGTTTAACTAGTTTATCAACTCAAGGAAAGCTAATGACCATAAGACAGATGATCTCATATGAGTCAATATGAAACTTGTCAGAGATTCTGCAAACATATCATGGTCTAAGCTGAAATTAGTGTCTCTCTGATGAAGGAATTTTTTAGCAAGCTTCCACCTTGCTAAACACATCCTCATCCATAATAGCCCAGCCCAGGGAAAGAAAAGGAAATGTTTCTCACCAGCATACTCGCCCATGTTGATCTCCTCTTCGAAAACATCACTGAAACCTTCTCCAGAATTGAGAAGGTCTAAACGACCATCAATAAACTATTGAGAGAGAGAGAGAAACAAGGCACAGTGGTTTGTAATAAGATGGGGTGGGGAGGGGAAGTATATTCATATGGGCATCTTAGTATATGACTAGAAAACTACCACATTTTCTAAGAGAGAGTTTCTTTAAAATTGTGTCTTCAAAAGTAATTTTTGACATATGTAAAAAAAAATGGTTGTGTATTTTTATACTTGTACAACCACATGACATTATTTGCTGTGGGTCTGTGGTTGTTGATCAGCCTCCTCCTGATTGAGGCCCTCTTCCCAGACCCTGAGCCTTTCAGGCTGGGGCCTCAGTCCCATCCATGCCTGCAGCCTTGGGATGTGGAGTAGAGACATCACTGGCCCCTGGCTGGGCTGCAGATTCAGGCCCTGCCAGGCTGACAGTAGGGAAGGCTAGGCACCTGTTTGAAGAGCTGCAGCTGCGTGGCATTCTGCAGGAACTGCCTCATGGCTCCTGAGCGGTAGTGGGACACGAAGGCTTCCTCAGAGAAGGTGATTGGCTCCTCCTGGGAGAGGGGGACAGGGAGGAGAGCGTCAGAAGCAAGGCATGAGGATGACCAGTTCTTAAAGTGCCTGCCTGATCCCTTAGGTACTGCTTCTACATTCAGTTCCTCATTTACTGGTTAAGGAAGCTATTATCCCCAACACCATTCTAGTCTACGCATGAGGAATCATTTTCAAAGAGAAGTCATCAGCAGGAAGGCAGAACTAGGATGTGAAAGCAGGATTCCAACTCCTACACGCAGAACCTACAGAACCTCAGTCACATGCAAGTTAGTGTGGCATGACCACTGGGGCAGTGATTTGCAGACTTTCCTCTCTTACTTTTAGGAATGGAGCCCTTTGTCCAGATCAGACCTTATGTACTGCTGAGCTGCTCTGCTGGAGCTGGCTGCAGGAGCTGGCACGAGGGTTCCCCTGCTCACTGCCTTCTGTCTCTCCCCCATCGGGGCACTTTCCCAATCTCTCACGCACCAGCTATAGGATGCAGTCTGAGAACTACTTATATGGTCATCTTAGCAAACAGTAAATTATAATTAAAAACACTTATTTTAAAAAGCAAGGATGATAAGAAAAAAAATAAGATTTGCCATCTAGTCAATTTTGTGCTCAATGTTTGATAAGGAAGTTTGCTTTTTCCAAACTACATTTTCTGAGTTAAAAAAAATATCCTAAGCTTTAAAAAACCAAGTTCATCTGTGTACACTCAACACCTCAAACTTTCTTTGAAGGTACCTGGAGTGTTCATCTATACAAACAAGTCTTTAATTTCAGTGGTGTACTCGCAATTCTGAAAGATCAGACTTTTATACTTTGAATTAAAGGTACTCCCCCACCCCATTTCACAGACTTGGTGGCAAACACCGGGATGTTTTGAAGCTTCACTTTCATCTTGCTTTAATGAGTTACATAAGTGTGGAACATTATTGGTGAGTTGCTGCAAATTCCAAGAGTTTCTCTTGTTTACATCTAGCCAACATTAGCTCAGCAACTAGGTAGGTTTATTATATGGGTGCAAGGAAAGCCCAACCAATCTGGATGATCTGATTGGGAGAAGGCTCATTTTTATACACCTGCATCACCTCACATAATTTTACAAAGGATTTGAGGAAGCTTACACGAGCATATGATACAACAAAGAAAAATCAGGCCTGGAAAACATGAACATTTGTAAAATTTATGTGGGGAAAGTATCTGGATATACAGGTCAAATATGGATGCTAAGATTAAGCTATAAAATTAGGCTCTGAGCTTCCTGGCTGCTGAAGGAAGAAGGGAAACGTTCTGTTGCAAATGTTACATTATCTATGAGCATGTTAGCATCTTGGAAAAGCAGACAAAGCTTTTTAAGATAGTTATTGCTCTGGTATAGATTTATTTCCTTATTGAGACACCTATCAGCTTGTAAAACCCAGCTCATTTGTTTCTCTTCTTGTTCACTCTTTGGGACCTTAGGTAATAAATCCCCTCCCCAGGTGATTTCATCCATGTTCACAATGTCCTTTGTATAACTGGACTCTTGAGAAATATCATCAGTTCAGCTCTTTTTCCAGAGTGTCCAAATTTCCAATTCCCAATCTCTACCTGGAGGGCCCACTGGCCCTCAAAATGATCCAAACTCCAAATTATTACCTCACCTAGATGGCACCCTACACATTGTTCTATTTTTCTCTTTTAGTCCCAGGATAGTGTAAACAGTTAATACCCTCAGCTACTAATCAATAAGTTGACGGTTCAAGTCCACTCACAGACTTCAGGAGACAGGATTGGTGATCTACTTTCTTCTTTTGAAAAACTAGCCCTTGTCAGTCCAGTGGGTTAGCTTTATACGCTAACACACATGAGGTTGCCATCAGCTGGACTTAACTGGATAATAAGTAGTTTCTTTAATCATTATCCACAGCTACTCACAGTAGGTCTAAAGGTCTTTCCCAGACCTTCTCATTTCCCCTGTGAAATGGCTCCTACATTCATCTCTGCTCACTGTCACACTGCTTTAGCTCAGGCCTGAAACTGCTGGCATGGACCACATTTAGCTTTCAGTTCCTCCCCTGTTTCCTTCCTTCCAGTCTAACCTAATTCTCCTGGCCAGGAAGATTTCTCAAATGCAAATCAGATCATGACCTCTACTCAAAAACCTTTCCTAGCATCCATATTTGTGTAACTAGTGGCTGACTGCTTCTTTCACTAGACTGTAAGCTACAGGTGAGGGGGAACCGCGCCTGCTCTGCTCGACAGTGGACACTCAGCAGGATGTGTGGCATACGCAAGGGTTTCTCTGTGGGAAAGGAAAGAAAAGAGAAAAAGGCCTGGTTCCAGGCACACAAACCCTTCCCAAGAGGGCCCCACCTTTCCTTTTCCAGAGTCCCTTTTTTGTCACTTTCCCTCTCTCCCCCACACACCTTATGCTCTAAAACGCATTCCCTGATCACATGCCACCTCCTTCCCCACTTTCTTCTTTGCTTTTGCAAGTTCTACTCCTTCTGCCTGTACTGTCTTCCTTTCAAATGCAGGCCTCTGTGGGGCACTCACAAAGTGCCTTGTGTGCCCCCCGGGGGTTGGGGTGGTCTGTGACTGCTGTCCCCAGTGACCAGGCACTCTCCAGGCAGGGGTCCTGCCAGACCCATCTCCACCCTCCCTAGGATGGTGTAGAGTCCGGCACCCAGTAAGAAAGTTCAGGGATGTTGGTGAAGGATCACGGAATGAATTCAAGCCTTGTTTCTGCCAGGAGGGTCCTGTGGTCTTGGTGTAGCTGAGATATTGCTTGGACTGACTGTAAACGGAGTCTCTGAGGATGAAGCCAGGTAAATGACATTTGTGTCCAGCGAGGTGAGAGCTGCTCAGAGGAAAGGCACATTGGAGTTGTTAGTATTCTTTGGCCCAACAGTACCAGGAAGGAGAATTCTGCTGAGGGACCAATAAATTGAAGTGAACTTGCAACCAGATTTGAATGTGAGGGTAGCCTGAGGCACGATTTAGTGGTGGAAGGGCAGAAAGAATCACATCTTAGTGGAGACACTAACATTTTGGGACTGTTGTTACTTAGTGGAGGTGACATTCCCCTGGATCAGATGTCTGTACCATAAAAATGGGCAAAAGTTAAAGGGCATGGACACAGATAGGAAAGAGCTGGGAGAACTGTGACAATGGGGCTTTTTCTGAAAAGAGTTTGAAGAACAACATCAGGAGAAGTGTCTCTTAGGGATAGAAATAACTACTACTACCGTATGGCGTATGCTACAGGCATGGGGTGGGGATGGGGAAATGCTCCCCAGGACTCAGAAGAGGAAAAGCTAGTCCTCCTGAGAGGTGAGTGAGGGATTGAACCAGAAAACTTTTTGAGAAGTCAGTTAATTTCAGATTTATCTGTAAAGGTCAACAGGAGTTAGACAAGGAAATCCCCACCTGTTTAGGGACCTGTTCAGGACACCGGTGTGTCCTAATCCTATGGAGAGGCAGTCACATTTTTACCCAGAGTTGTGTGTACAGGTCCAAATGGCAACAAGAGCTACCCATTCTCTACCAAAATTACAGTAATAGTTTGCCTAATCCCTTCTGGAGCTCTGGGACAAGCCTTGTGTTTGCCATGTCATACTTCTTTTTACCAGTTTGCCAACTTGAATGCAATAGGAATTGAGTTAATTCTCACAGAGTAACTAAAGTGATATAAATGGCCCAAGGGTATATATAATAAATGGCAGAAGGAGGGTTTAAAACTGATGGAGTCTGAAGTCTACCTCCTGCCATCCGACACATGGTCTATCATAGACTCACTAGGCTTCTTTGAGGTCAGAGCTCTGTTCTCAGATATCTGCTGGAGAACAAGAGAGCTCTCTTTAGGGTCAGAACATCTCACAACCTCTGACTGTGATCTCCTGTTGAATCCTTCAGAGATAGGCAGCTCTGGGTGTAAGCAAGCCCTTAGGCAGGATCTTTGGACCACAGACCTCACATGAGGATATAAAACCATCCACACCAGTTTATCCATCCTTCTTTGTACAGTTGACATGGCTGCTACCATTCTTCTCCACAATGAAGACAAAGTATCTTGTTAATTCCCTCTTTTGCAAGAAGTGCTGATTTAGTTCTTCTATTAAGCTGATTAAACCTTTTGTCTTCTTAGGTGATACTCTAGGTTCTGGGACTACTGGCTGATAGAGACATTAATTCAAGAAAGCTGGGCCGTGAGCATTCAAGCTTAGATCACATTAGTGGAGTTTTCCATCTATGACCCGAAGGACAGTAAAACACAGCTGCTTAACCCTATCAAGGACTCTGTTATAAAAAGATGTTTTCCTCTTGGATTTTTTTTTTTTTTACATATGGAATCAATTGAAAGCTCCATCACTAATGAGTTGCATTTCTGTTAACAGGTGAAGCTGATGATTCCAAAGGTTTTTGATACTTCCAGAAATAAATGGCTTTATTCACAGCACTGTGGGTACTGGCATAAAAATAAAACTCCCCTCAGATTCTTCCAGCAACTTTCCTTGTGCTGTCGACCCACACATAAAAGATTAAACTCTTATTTTCTGCTTCATATTTGGTCTTTACTAAAATTTTATTTGTACACTTACATTACAATTTTAAGAGAAAAAGAAACATTATTTACAAAATGTGCTGCTTAAAACTTAAAGAACAGTAGTTTTGGAAGATTTATCCATTTTTTTTAAAAGCACCAACTATGTGCCTGACTCTGTTTTGAGGGAATAGAAAGACAAATAAAATACAAGTTCTAAAAGTGGTAATGAAACCTGGATGAGGGATGGGGAGTAGATGAAAGTAAAGATGCTAAAAGAATGGTAGAACACGGATATCTGTGGGAACTGGACAAATGGTTACTCTTTTGTTTACACTTTAAAAGTGAAATGAAAAGAATGTAAAAGTGAAATGAAAACAATAAAAATGAAAAATACAGTCCTAATTTCCAAGAGAATCAAGTCTAGTTCATGGAACAAATAAAACTGCCCAAAAGAGGGCCGATTTATCTTTCTATTTTGTAAAG